CACAAAATTTTTGTGTTTAAGTGTGCAAATCCTTCCTCTCCCTTTCTGCAGGTAAATGGAGATTTCAAAATCTCCAGAAAAAAAAAAATTCTCCCTGAATATCAGCACAAACCTTCCAGTCAATCTAATCCATCCAAAGGGATCCAAATATCAAACAGGGGATCTTATCAATGGAGAACCTCTTGGTCACTGTTTAAAATGCTTATTTTAATGCATCTTAAAACATTATAATAATGTTTTAAATACTTATTTTAAAGATTACTCCCTATATTTGGTTTCCCAGTGGGTGTTGCTGTGCAAACCCCTTGGTGAGGAATAAATCTGGGACAAGTTCTGATGAGGGGAGGTGGCCTGCACCCCTGGATGGGTGGAGATGTGTTAAATTACACCCCTTCTGCTAATTTTTCTATTTCCTTGACACCAAATTAGCCCCCAAATCCATCCACAAAATCAATTCAGCACTTGGAGCTGAACTGAGCACAGCAGGTGCTGGAGCCTCTCAAAGCCCATCCCGAGCTCCCCATTCCCACCTTGCTCAAAACTCAGAAAAAACTCCTTTGTTTGGTCCTTCCCTCCTGCCAAAAGAGGAATCTTCTCYTGCCAGCCTGGTTTGCTGCTTTTCTGGCCGTATCATCTGATTTTCTGCCATTTGAGTGAAAAAATCTCGCTTCTTGCCTCATTAAAATGCTGTTGAAACATCTAAGAGCATCTCACAGGGCAAGGCAGAGCTTTGCAAAATTATTTATTTTATCAGATTGCACAGATGGATCAGGTAAATGAACAGAAAAACATGGAAAAAAAAAAAAAAGAGGAGTTCTTTCCTAGACGTGAACTGAAATACAATAATAAACCAAGTATTAAATTGTGCTTGAAAACAAGTTTTAAATGTTTTAAAAGCAGTTAATACATGCACTTGATTTTATGGTCTTAATCCACCAAGTCCCTGTTTTCACAGAGAGTTAAATATGCAAATATTTCCTGGAAATATTTGGAATAAACAAAAATAAAAGAAATACTATGCTATTTGTGGACAGTTTAGCAAATATTAATGATGACATTTGCTGGACTGTTGATGTTACAAACAACTGCTCCTACCTGGGGTGTAGAAAGAAGCAAAAAGAACCCCCAGGGTCACATTTTTCTCTCACTTTCACCCTGATAAATCCATCAATGAAGCATTTCAAGCCCCAATTTTCAAGGGGTGGGTTCAGCTTTGCAGTCCTGCCCAGAAATGCTGAATAAAGACCTCAAATGCCAGAGCTGTCAGCAAATCCCAGCACTTGCACCTTGCAAGGCGTCCTGCTGACTCATTTTCTTAATCACCTCTAAAATTCACAGGGAATTTCGAAATTCTCTTTCCTGAGGAGGCCAACAAAACACAGATTTGTCCCAGCAGAGGGGCAGGAAAGCTAAWGCAGCCCAGAAAATACAGGTAGGCAATTGTTTTTCAGTGTTTCCTCTGTTCTGCTGCCGGAGAAATTTTTAAAAATACTTGAAGATGGGATGGACTGAGGAGGGGTGGGTTAAAATAAGCAAACTACAGAAAAAGCCTAATTAAAACACGAAGGAAAATTGGATTTCAGATTAAAAAAGCAGTGAAAATCTAGGCTTGACTCTGCATCTGTTCAAATTAAAACCCAAAAATTTCTGTTCACTGCARTCACGTGCACGTGCTGAAGATTTTATATTCCTTATAGGATCCCTTTCCATTTTTATGCTCCTACAAATGAGGTGAAATTCGCTTTCTGGAATATTTCCAGGCTCTTTTCAAGAAGCAGCAGGCTCATTAGCCAGGTGAATCTGTCTCTGTTCACAGCACAGAGCCGTGGGCAGCTGTTCAGTAGCCACACGGCCACATGGAGACACCAGGCAGCTCTTCCAGCCCAAAGTGGGGTCAGAACCCAGGGAAAACCTGACCAAGGAGCTCCAAAACCACAGGCTGGGATTGCCATGGGAATTCTGGGGTTGAACCCCCYCTCTGTGCGCCCTCAGTCCAACATCTTCTCGTTTAAAGAGATTTTTCTGAAAAGGTCTTTACAAACATTACCCATGGACGAAGACGGATCTGTGCCGTTGGTAGCTATAACCCAATTCTCTCTCCCTTTCTCTTTTTTCTCCCTCTCTCCCTTTTCTATCACATAAATCGTGTTGTTGGCACTCAATAAAAGTGCTTTTGATTTTGAAAAAATACTTATCCCTGTTTCTATTGCAGTCTGAGATGCAGTTAATGAACCATCACGACCTCTGTTTGTGTTGAGCAGATCGTGACTGGTGGGCTCAGAGTTGGGGGGACCCTGAGAGGGGCTGTGGGTGCTCAGCTCCCTGAAAAAACCTCTCCACGCCCAGCAAACAGCTCAGCCTGACAGAAGGGAAATGTAATTAGGCTGAAGAAGAAAGGAAAGGAAAGGAAAGGAGAGGAAGGAGGGCTCCGTCACCGAGGGGTTTGAAGGATTCCAAGGCCTCCAGACACCAGCACGAAGCTCAAAAAGCAGCAGAGGAAGTCTGGGGCTGATTATTCCTCCCTTTGGTRAGGCAAATGCCTCATTAGACAAAGCAAGAGGTTCTGTTTTGAAAGAGGTTTGGAAGGCATCATGCAATATTGATACAGAAATTGTGTTTAATGCAGGTTTACAGGGTGAGAGGTGAAAGGAAATGGAAATGCAAACATGGTGCTTTATCCTGGTTCTCCCTGTGGCTCTTCCCTCTGTCAGAAAGCTCCCTCAACCCTCCAAATTCCCTTCAAAACAGAAAAATTCTTCCCACTGGAGACAGTTTCAGGCTTCCTCAGTATGTGTCCGGAAAGGGAAAGAGGCTGTGAGTTTMATTGAACTGAATTTCCATTGCTGTGTCTTTTTGCCTCTTGCCTGATCAAGGGGATTCCTCAAAATTTGAGCCTGGCCTTCTGAATTTTGGAGASTTCTGCATTTGGTGTTTGCTAAAAAGAATTTTGGCTGCTTTGTGGCTTCTCAAAGACTTTGCTGGGTTCTGCAGCTTTAGCACCTCACCCTCAGATCCCCACATCAACTGGAAACCAACCCCAGCTCACGTTTGCCTGCAGAAAGCTGTGGTGTTCAGCATAGAGTGGATTTTGGTGCTTTTTATTTCTCGTTTTCATTTCCTGCTGCTTCYTTCATTCCTTCTGTCTGCACCCAGGGATGAAGGCTCTGCTGGCAGTAATTGGCCCAGGACACATTTGTTGCAAGGCACCAAAAAATTTCTGTATTGAAAGGCATCTACCTAAAAATCAGATGCTCAGTTTCTTGCAGACTATTGGCACTTTTTTGTTGTTGTTTTGGTGGAAATCTGTGTAGCCAGTTGTGTTTCTGGAAGCACTGTGCCCTTTCTGCCCAGCCCTGAGGGGAATTTGGATTTTGCCTGGAGGTTTTTTCAAATGGGGCTAGGTGATGCAGGAGGGATCTTGTCTAGAAACCATGAGCAGCACCAAACCCCTCATGCTTTTAACAATCTCAAAAATCATGGGAGAACTAAGCCCAGGTGCCTTCTCAGCCTCCCAACCATCCCAGCACACATCACAAAAATAAACTGTTCAYARACAGAGGARTWCAATCAYGRARTACAGCASACATCMCAAAAATAAACTGTTCACAGACAGAGGAAYACAAYCAYGGARTACAGCACACAYCACMAAAATAAACWGTTCATAGAGGAGTTCAATCACGGAATAAGCAGAAGCTGCCCTGAGGCAGCACCATCAGGTGGCACCTGGCAAAATCCTCAAAGAGCAGACAGGAAAGCGCTGCTGTGACCTCAGGGTGTGAGGGATTTCAGGAAAGCTGTCCCTGCTGCGTGTTCGGGGTGTCCTGCCCAAAGCCCAGCTGTGAACAGCCGCCCAGGAGCTCCGTGCCCCCGGGGGAATCCTGCAGGTTCAGGTGCTGCAGTGCTCTCCCCTTTCTCCCCCTCCTCCTCCTCCTAAAATTCGGGGATGCTGCAATGTCCTGCCGCTTTCCCTCGGGCTTTGCCGCCGCTTCCCAAGTTGCCCAGGAGGGTGTGCGTGAGTTGGGGGCGATTCCGAGGGGAGGATCTGGGAACGAAACCTGGAGCGTGCGGGGCTGGGTGGGAGCTGGGCAGGTTCGTTATGACACAACTGCTGGGGAGGGGAGGGGAAAGGGGGATTGGTGACGGGGACAGAGAGAGAGACAGGAGAGAGGGAGAGGCAGGAGAGACAGGAGAGTCAGAAGAGGCAGGAGAGGAGTGCGCAGCGCYCTGTCGGGCTGTCAGAACATCAGAACACCATCTGGCAGCTTTGGGGAAGGTGCCGCCGCTCCGCTCCGCTCCGAGCATCCCGGATCTCCCGCTCCGATGGCAACCATGGCACAGCCAAACGGGTTTATTTCCACGCGATCTCTCGTTTCTCTCTCTCGTCAATAAATTCACCTGAAGGCTTTTTTTTTTTTTACTCGCCACCTCCCCTTCTCACGCTCCTTTTTGATGTGGAGAGAGGGGRGGAAAGGGCGTTGTGGACAGCGCGTATTTGGCTCGGCGGGTTTTTGCGGCGCGTTTTAAAGAGCTCGGCAAAGGACCGGGAAGAGAAAGAAAGAAGAGAAAGAAAGAAAGAAAAGAGAGGAACAAAAGAAGAAGAAGAAGAAGAAGAAGACGACGTCGGTGGGAGGAGGAGGCAAAGAGCAGCAGAGAAGAGGGAAAAACCGGCGGAGAGAGGAGCCGGAGAGGAGGAGAGCGGAGCGAGAAGAGAGCGGAGCGGAGTGCGGAGAGGAGGAGCGCGGAGAGCGGAGCCGGAGGAGCGCTGAGCGAGAGGAGAGCGGAGCGCGGAGCCGGAGGAGCGCGGTGCAGTGCGCGGAGCGGAGGAACGCGGAGAGCAGAGCCGGAGGAGCGCGGAGCCGGAGGAGCGCGGAGCCGGAGGAGCGCGGAGCCGGAGGAGCGCGGAGCCGGAGGAGCGCGGAGCCGGAGGAGCGCGGAGCCGTGCGCGGAGCCTCCCGCGGTGGCCGGAGCGGGGCGCGGAGCGGCGGCCGCGGGTGCGGACCATGGGCTGGCGGCTGCTGCCCGCGATGCTGCTGGCCCTGGCGCTGGGCGGCCGCGCCGCCTCCGCGCAGAACGAGACCGAGCCCATCGTCCTGGAGGGCAAGTGCCTGGTGGTCTGCGACTCCAACCCGGCCCCCGACGCCAAGGGCGCGTCCTCCTCGCCGCTCGGCATCTCCGTGCGGGCGGCCAACTCCAAGGTGGCTTTCTCGGCCGTGCGGAGCACCAACCACGAGCCCTCCGAGATGAGCAACAAGACGCGCATCATCTACTTCGACCAGGTGAGCGCCGCGCCCGGGCCAACAGGTGCCGCCGGCAGCCTCGCCCTTTCCCGGGGTGCCGGGGGGGATCCATCCCGGGCCGGAGGCTTCGGGCACGGGGACGGGAGGCTGAGGGGCTCTGGAAGTTCCCCGTTTGTCCCCCAGCCCCGCGGTGCAGCGGGGACAGCGCCCGGGAGGTGCCGGGCTGGCAGCGCTCGGTGGCACCGGCGGGGTGACATCGCCCCGAGGGGCTCGGGGACAGCAGGATCTACACAGCCCGTGTAGGGTTTGTGCAGCTTTTGGCCGGGGGAAGAAGAGAGAATTTTTCGGGAAAATCCTTGAAGTTTCCCAGCGTACATCCCATTCCAGCTCCGCTCAGCACCGATRTCAAGGTGCAGATGCCAAACCGCGCTCAGCTCCTGCTCCGGGGCAGCTCCAGAGCCYTTGGGGCTGATGGTTCTGCTGTTCCCACTCCCTGCTGTCGCGGCAGTGAATTGTGGTGACAGCCGGGGCCAGGGGTGTCACACAGCTCAGTGCCGGTGCTGTGAATGCCCAGGGGTGTCACACAGCTCAGTGCCGGTGCTGTGAATGCCCAGGGATGTCACACAGCTCAGTGCCGGTGCTGTGAATGCCCAGGGATGTCACACAGCTCAGTGCCGGTGCTGTGAATGCCCAGGGGTGTCAAACAGCTCAGTGCCGGCGCTGTGAATGCCCAGGGGTGTCACCCAGCTCAGTGCCGGTGCTGTGAATGCCCAGGGGTGTCACACAGCTCAGTGCCGGTGCTGTGAATGCCCAGGGGCGTCACCCAGCTCAGTGCCGGTGCTGTGAATGCCCAGGGGTGTCACCCAGCTCAGTGCCGGTGCTGTGAATGCCCCTGAATCCACAGACTGTCCCAGAGGCTTTGCAGGGCTGTGCCCGGCACGAAGGAGCCTGGAAATATCAATTAAAAATAAAGCAAATAAAGCACAACTGAGTGAGAAGAAAGCAAGGTGCAGTCATTGCAGAGGTGTGTAACATACGGATGATGATGCACTCATTTAAAATGTTCTCCTCTGTTAATTGTCTCCATTTAATCAAACCCAAATTATTATTAGCRCTCATAACAACAACTCACAGGGAGGCTCACAGGCAGTTTGTGCTGGGATGTGCCAGRWGTTCCAGTGACTCGGGCTGGCTGTGAATTGGGAATGTCTCGTGTTGTCCTCCCTCACACTGGTACTTTGGGAAGGCAGTGTTGGCTTGGCCATTGCTCTTTAATCAAAAGTTATTCCAGAATTGCCATTCTGGCAATGGTGCCATTCCCAGAATTGGTGTTYGGATGTCATTTTGGGGGAAAGATGAACAAAAATACCTTTTTAAACTCCTTTCACACATACAGAAGAAAGGACTTGAAGGCATGGTGTAGTAGTAAAGTAAGGGATAATTCCCACCCTCATTTATTTGTAGTAAAGTTGTACAATAAATACAACTAAATACCCATTTTATGAGCTATGCCAATGCAATTGAGAGAAAATGAACAAACYAGCATAGATGTGGATAAAAATTTTCCATGGATGAATGGTTTCTAAAGTTAACAATCTGTATTTTTGTTTAGCACGCACTACCTGCACTAATCCCCGTGTTATATTTTTCTGTTTGCAGATCCTGGTAAATGTGGGCAATTTTTTCACCTTGGAGTCCGTCTTTGTSTCACCAAGGAAAGGAATTTACAGTTTCAATTTTCACGTCATTAAAGTCTACCAGAGTCAAACAATTCAGGTATGTTGATWGGGTATGATTATAAAATCTTGATTTAAATTGTTTATTTTGGGATAGGATCTTGACTGAGCACAGGAAAATTATTTTAAGGAAAAATTGCTTAGTTTACAGCAATCTGTGGTGTTGGTCTCCCAGCAGTGAAGTCAATAATTTAAAGAGAACAGCTGAAATAAGGCACCCTCAGCTCAGATAAATCACCACAGCTCCACTTCTGTGCCATGAGGGTCTGGGGTGACATAAAGCATTCAATAGAATGAGTGATCCAGAGTAAAAGAGAGCTCTGAATTTCACTTAAAAGAGTTGTATTTTGCTGCAGGTTAAACTGGCAGTGTGGAACACAGGAATGCTGGGGTTCTGTACCAGATTTGAGTGGTTTTGTAATGTTTTGTGCCCTGGCTCTTGGTGCCAGGTACCCAGTTACAATCTCAGTCTGCTGATGACCGAGGTTGGGCATAGCCCTGTCTTCTAGGAAACCTTTAGACCTGCTTAAACTTATTTTCCCACCATTCTCTTAGAAAAAAAGGGCAATTCTGCACTTTCTGCTGTAGCCCAACAAATAAATTGAAGAGGGGACATTTCCCTGGGGTGCAGTGGAGCTCCAGGGCAGRGTGTGAAGGGTGGAGATTTGAGGGARCTGGGGCAAGCCACGATCCCATCTCTGGTGAAATCCCCCATTGGAGCACAATGTAAAATCCTGATCCCAACCAGGCCGTGAATGAAACACTGATCTCGTGAAAATCTCTAACATAGGTTTATAAACTGTTTAATGTGCTCAGGATTTGCTCTCTTCACTCCAGATTTGCTGTCTTCACTCTCTTGAGTGCTGAAGGTTGAGTAAGTGTGTGTCAGCCACTGGGTTTAAAATTCRCATCAGCAAGAAAGATGCCAAGGTTTGAGTCTGGAAGCTCAAACTCTGGTGTGTCAGGAACTCAAACCTGAGAGTTTGGGGCTCAGGGAATGTTCCAGMCYRTGGCATGGTCTGAAATCTCTCCTGRGCAGGAGATTGTGCAGTGTTGGATGGGTTTTTTTGGCTCTGCTTTGGAGCAGTGTGAGACCATGGGGTGCAAACCTGGGGTGTTTCCTCTGCTGTCAGAYGATTGCAGGGGAGCCTGACCTGAAGAGATGGGCCAGAAGGAGTGAGATAAACCCGAATTAAACGATGAGTAAAGCCCTGATGCCCTTTTTCTGTGTGTGGGGTAACCAAGGAGAGGATCAAAGCGCTTTGAGTCTCAGCCAGAGTTAAGCCCAGACTGAGCCCGTCCTAAATCACCTGCAGGCTTGCCACACAAGTGATGTTCCTGTGCCCCCACAACATCTGCCAGAGCCATTAAACATCATTAAACTGCAGTGGGTTCCCTGGGGACGCCTGATGGAGTGGATTTCCTAGGTTGGTGAATCCCAAATAAACACCAAACTCTGCCGCCCCAACTTCTGCTGGGCACTAATTCATTCATTTATTCAAATTAACGGGAGCACCTGCCAGACCAGCRCAGTGGATAGGGGTGAACATCCCATAATTCACCCCTCAGTGACTGCTTYAGAGCTGCTTAGAAAGGAAAAACCAGAGGGAAGCTGAGAGTTTGCCATGGGGGAAATGAAAAATGCCTGGATGTGCCCGTTCCCCCAGGCCTGCCTGTCTTTATTTAGAGGTGCTGCTCTCAGAGCAGAGGCCGTGCTGGCTTGCTGAAGTGTTTTATGGAGAAATGGAGGCAGTTTATAAAGGTAAAAATCTGTTYTRAACCTCAGAACTGAGCTGCCATCASCCTCAGGAGGGACATTCATTCTGTTCCCAGGGAATGTGCTGCCTCTGAAACCTCGTGTCACATCTCTGGGTGACCAAATCGCTTGAAAATAATTTTTTTTTGCTCATTTGTGACTGAATAACCCTTGAAATAGGCAAAGTGATACAAACTGAGCTGATACCTCGCTCAGCTGCACGGAAAATCAGCGTGCTTGTGCCAAATAAATGTCATTAATAGTTTAAAACAACCAACAAAACACTGAAGATTGTGCTGCAGTTATACTCAGGGGTGGTTCTGGATGTTTTTCTGTTAATTGGAGCTTTCAGGGGTGGTTCTCTTGCAGGTGAATTTGATGCTGAACGGGAAGCCCGTGATYTCTGCCTTTGCTGGGGACAAGGACGTCACCCGTGAAGCCGCCACCAACGGGGTCCTGCTCTACCTGGACAAGGAGGACAAGGTGTACCTGAAGCTGGAGAAAGGGAACCTGGTGGGAGGATGGCAGTACTCGACATTTTCTGGSTTCCTGGTGTTCCCCCTGTGAGCTGCTGTGACTCCAGCCAGGCGTGGACTCGTCCTTGCCTCTGGCACGTGAAGATCATTTCGTCACCATGGTTTCCTTTTTGGTTTCTCATGGGTGAATTTGGATTCTCTCTCTCTGTGGATTTTGGCCCCTCCTGAACTTTCCAGAAGCTCCACAGGGTTCTGTGTGTTCAAATACAATATCTGTGGGCTGAGACTAAAGCAGACAACGAATATCTGTGACTGCAAAATTGATTCCAACTTTCATCCTCTGGACTCATTGAATTCATGGAAGAAGCGGATTTTCTGTAACTGTGAAAAGACTGGTGCCCAAATTGAGTGGAAAGAGGGGTTTTTTTTGAGAGTTTGAGCTCAGTGAGATCAAGAGTCAGTGTGTCACTGGCAAAGTAAMAATGCATTGATAGATTGGTCACTCRTGTCTGTRTTTTGAGRGAGGGAATTGTTGATGCCACGTGGCTGCTCGAGCTCTCCTCTGCGTGCTGTGTGTTGGAGGGTTCACCCCAATGTTTGAGCTCAGCCACAGTCGAGTCCAACCCCACAAATCCGAGGGGTTGGGGATGTTTCAGTTGGGTGTGGAAGGTGTTCCTCTTTTCCATGTGCTGATTTCTGGAAGGAAAAGCAGATTATAACAGGTTTTAACCACACAGACAAAGCTCACCGGGCTCAGAGGGGATCGTTCAGGCACAACTTTGCCCTGCAGGGCACCTCACATTTGTTCTTCAATTTTAATTAATGTGATCCATRATAACTGCTGTATTCAAACCCTGAGGGATTCCTTCCTTAGACACAACCACTTGGTCAGCTGGAAACTAAATCCCCTTTATTTGTTTGTATTTCTGTGTATTTYCCAACCCTTCTGTTGTGTTCAAAGTCTTTTATCTGATTTTGCCTTAATTCCACAACTGTACATAATTTTAGATCATATGTTTATTAACAAAGATGAAATCCAAATAACTGGTACCAAATTTGGTACAAAAGCTCCTTGTACAGATCATGTGAATTCATAAATTTATTTATTATCTCGTTGTTACATAATAAAGAATAATCTATGTTAGCCGAATTTTTGACCTTTGGATTTTGGAAGGCGCTTCATGCTATTTTTTTTTATTTGATGTAATTCTTATATGCAAAATGGAAGCTTTTGGGATTCACAAAAACCATCCTGGGAGGCAGAAAAACTGCCATGAGTCTGGCAGAATCCTAGAGGGAATCAGAGAGACCTAGAAATTACCTATGCATTCCTGTTAAAATAAATTTGGGCAGAAATCCTGGCCTGACTGAAGTCAGGAATCACATTGATTCCAAAGGGTTTGGGTGAAATTTGTGCTTTAGGTTTTGCAGTCGGTGTCAAACCCCAGTGCCATCAGATTGAACATGAAATAAAATGATTTTCCCATGAGCTGCTGATAAAACCCTTCATCCCTCATTCCCCAACACACTGAACTGATGGATCTTTGTGCCTTGCACATGGATCTTTTGATCCATGGGATGAGCTTTAAGGTCTCACCCAAAAACCCAAACCACGCTGTGGTTTTATATGCACAACTTTGCAAAGCTACAGACAATGGAAATCAAATTAACAGCCTCAAAAACATGGACACACGAGAGAAATATCTCCTAAAGGGGCTCAGAAAAGCCTTGGTTCCAGGAACTTGGCTGTTAATTGTCCATTCCCCAACCAGAGAAAAGCACAGGGATAAATTAGCCCTGATTCACAAAAAACATGAAATCACCACTGGGTTTCATCCAGTTCTACTCACTGCCAGGGCTCTCTGGGGCCATGTGCAGGCTCAGACAACAGAATCCTAAATAAATCGCAGGTGAAGGTGATAAAATTCAGTTTTAGTAAAGCCACCCTCCTTCAGACCCCCAGCCTGGGGGAGGAGTGGGATAAAGAGCAGGAAAAGGCAAAGAGGGTTTGAGTTCAGAGCTGTCGCTGCTCCCTCCTGTCTGAGAGGAGGGATCTGAGCAAAAGCAGCTTAGGAATGACCCCACTGTTTATGGGAACAGACCTGGAGAGGGATTGGGAGTGCTGTGGGGCTGTGAGCAGGAGAATGGTGTGGGATCAGGAGGAATTTCCTGCTGCTGGCAGAGATCAGAGCGCTGCACCATCCTCTGCCTGCAGCCCACCCAAACAGGAGCAGGGCAGGTCAAAACCCAGGGCAAAAGCAGAAAAATAACATTTCAGGGTGAGCCACAAGAAACCTTCAGCAAGAGCAGCTCGGGGCTGTTTCTCTAAGAGCCTTTGGCCAGGTTCAGATTGATCGGGATCTTCAGCCACCGAAAAATAAAAAATCCAATTCTTCAGTATTGAAGAACCCCAGCCAGAGAGCTGAGACCCTGARCCCTCTGCAAGTTCAGTGAAACGCTGCCATTCCCACTGCCTTCTCCCTGTTTCCACCCTCAGGTCTTTAGGATTCMGTTCCCTGTTTCGATTTGGGTCACAATAACCCAATTTAGTGTTTTATGAAACATCAACACCTGGCAGAGCATCCCTGGGCTTGGGTGGTGCTGAAATTCCCTCATTTGGAGCTCTCTCACCCTCCCTGAACCCCACAGGAATTTTTGGGGTGAAACTCCCCCTGGAGCCCCATTTAGATCCCTCTGGGCTGGGACTGACCCATCCCTAATAACATTTAATTACTTTATAACTCAGCAGCAAATTGAGTTGATTTAACTGTGTTCTAAAAGAAAGCTTTGCTGTTATTTCTTTACAAACCCCGGCTGCTTCTGGAGCATTTAAAATGTGTTTTTTGAAATGTCAATTAACAGCTGACAAACGTGGCAGAAATACATTTATGACACGGGGATCTCAGCCCTCAGATCCCTCATCCCCAGAACACATCATCACTTTTTCCTCAAGCTCAGCTTTTGTTGGAAGTTCCCCTCATTTTGGTTTTAATGAAAATTTAAGAATGGAATGAAAATGCAATCCCCAGGCTTAATTCTGGCATGAGCCTAATCGAGTTTATGCATAACAAAAATGTCAGGGATTGTATATTCTGCTGGAAGCCCTGACTTTTAAGCAATGCAATTAATTACACTCAAACATCCCAGAGGTTTATTGCTTCAGATAAAAGCATCCCAAGCACCTTCTTTACTATTATTTCYAGAAGAAAAACAATGTAAAATAAAGATAATTGAAGTATCTCTGGCGGACAGGTTGTTTTTTTCTTTTAAGGAACCGCATGGTTTTAACAAAAAAAAAAACCTCCTGAAAGAAATTTAGGAACAGCTGCTTTGCATACCAAATTTTAGGTTGTGTCAGCCTAAACCATAATTTTCATTATTTTATGTCTTTAAATACACCATTGTACGTTTTCATGGGTGAGCTGGGTGCCAGTTTAATCACCCAATGTCACTTTATATAAGCCTGATAAAAGTTTTAAACCAGAAATTCAGTGCTGGGGTGGAACGGTGCTCCTAAAATTGACAAATAACCCTTTAGTTCTGCTGAATTTCCTTCCCCTGGGGAGGTGCAGGGTGGAAGGGATGATGGATGGAGCTCACAGCTTTTTGGTGAGGACACTCAGACCTAAATCCAAGGGCTGTGCCCTCCACAATTCCCCTAAAACCACTCTTTTGGTTGGGATTAGGATTTTGACCCTAATTTGATCGACTGCTGTGTGCATCTCGTGGAAGAGATGTGATAATAAAAATCCATTAAAATGTTCCAGKGAAATCAAAGCCCTCAGCTCTGCTGCAGGGAGTGTTTGCACCAGAAAGAAAAAGCTTTTCCAAACTCTTGGCAGAGTTTTTGGGATCAAAAGTGCAATTCCTGCTGCCCATTGTGSGTTCTCTGCCTGCAAGAAACTCACCCTGATTTCGATTTTTATTTTTTTTTTATTTAAAACAATGCATTTTTCCTGCAGCCAGATTCAGTAACAGTTCATTTTGGAGCACTTTTATTTTATGTAATCAATTATATCGATTTCCCCTTAAACATAAAGATTGCCCAGTCCCCCACTGGGTGTTCATAACAGCATTTGAAAGATGAAATAACTGCTTTGTTAAAGTCTCCTCTCAATAAATCACACTKTGTTTGACAATTTTGGTTAAAATGAATCCTTGAGAATTAGCAGGTTTTAATCCCTAATAGTGGAAGCTTTATTTTATGTTACACCCAAGGTTTTATCAGTGTTCAGGRCCCCTGTACAAATTCTGGATATTTTTTTTTCTAATTGATGTTTATTTAAGTAAAATACCACCAAACAATGAAGAATAGCTCAGAGCTCCTCTTTGCCTCACTTTTCTGAGAGTTTCCCTTGAAAATATTGGAGGAAAAGGTCTAAAGCAAGCAAGTTTCAAAAACTCCAAATCTGCCCTCCTGCAATCTGCTAAGAGTTTAAATGGAGACCATTTTAAAATACTAATAAGTAAAAATACCTTCTGAGCCAGTCCAAGTTCCTCATACTTTTTTTTTTGGTTGGTTTTTTTTTTTTTTTTTTTTTTTTTTTTGCTTTCCACCAAGGTTTTTCCTGCAATAAAAGAAGCTAAAAATGAGAAAAATAACTTTACACTCTCCCTCTCTCACTTTGATACAACTTTCTTTAAAAGAATTTAAGAAACATTGGATAGTGGTGGTGATGAGAGRAATCTATTCCCCAAATAACTCTCATTTCCCTCAGTGAGGAATTGAAAAACCCCAAATTTTTATTTCAAATGATGAGGCTGGAACCCAGCTGGAGGAAGAATGTCTGCTCCATTCTGGAGTGAAACTTTGGAGGGAGCTTTAATGGGAAATTCCTGAATGGATTGTGAGCACCAAAGGGAAGGATGAGAGAAAAGAAAGGTGAAATATTTGACATCTGTAGCAGCAAAATGYCAAAATYTGAWWTTTTT